AACTCGAAGAGCAGCTAAGCGAATTGTTCAGATTGACGAATGACTAGTTATCACGTCCTAGAACAACTGCTCCGCCACCTCTCGTTCCCCTATCAGCTAAATCACGACGCCTGACGAATAAAATCGTCCGTCTGATAGAAGAAGCCGAGCAAAATGACCTGATTCGAACCAGCGACGAGTTTGTCAACCGTCTTGAGGACGCTGCTGTCCAATTCGTCGAGTCTTTGGAATTGGAAGAAGTCATTGGCGACGACGGCGCCGTGTTCCGACCTGAGACTCGTGAGAGATACCAATCCCTTGCAGCAGCCGCTGGGATCCAAAGTGAGTGTCAGCTTAAATTTGGGAATCGACCCAGTCGATTTCGTGTCATGCCAGACTAACGAAGTATATCTCTTCTCCAGCCTTTCAGCACCGTGCCCCCGAACCTGAAGAAGCGGCTGCCCTTGAACAGGCCAGGAAGGCTCGCGTCCGCACCTTGGACACCAACGATTCGAACCGCATCCGAACAACTACCATGGATTCGGCTCCTGTACCCATCTGCAACCAATCCCCATCCAATGCTCCAGACGATAAAGGGAAACACTACGCGGGCATGCTGGGCGAAGATTGGCTGAAAAGTTTCAAGAAAATGTCGAAGCGGGACGGCGATAGAGAGGCTGCTGCCCTTGAAGACACTGGAGACCCGCCAGTCAGCGACGACGATACAACTCCACGTAACACAAGTGATGAAGATGGTGAAGATGAAGAAGATGAAGAAGATGAAGAAGATGAAGAAGATGAAGAAGATGAAGAAGATGAAGAAGATGAAGAAGATGAAGAAGATGAAGAAGATGAAGAAGATGAAGAAGATGAAGAAGATGAAGATGAAGCAGACGATGAAGATGATGAATACGATGAGGATGATGAAGATGACGACGAAGACTATCTCCGGAATCCAGATGCACCATATGTACCTGTCGGTGGAAATACAAAAGACGACTAGAGGGCTGGAAGCCTTAGTTCTGTGGACGGACTGTTTGGCTCCGATTAGGAGCACGCTCTACTGGGTTGCCGCCGTCTCGCTTTCAGGACGTGAATTTAGGCCAAAGGAAGATTCAACGGCGTCGGTTCAACCTGGGCTGGGAGAAAGAGGCTGTGGTTGGGGGCAGGTCTATGCTTCGAGTTCAGACGCCAACTACGAGGTACTAGGACGTAGACTTGCATGCACATGGCCAATATTAAATCCAAGGACTCCGTCTGGAATTGCGTGCCTCTTGCGTGTGAGACCCTCATGTTGCTCGAACCAATCTCCAGGTGCCATTAGTTGGCAGGAGATCCTCTTGATCCTGTTGATCCTCTTGCCCGTACTCTGCTTATAAAGCAAGTTCGAGTGCTTGTTACCCCTACTCGGCTTGCAAAGCAGGCCCGAACATGACTTCAAGGCTGATTTTGATGCAGAATACGCGGGCATCATAGAGGCAGGGATAATGGCCAGGTTTGAACCGGTGCTAGTGATGTTAATTCGGATGGCCCCTTTGCTTGCTTGACATACTCACAATATCAGGCTCGTCTGGGTTTGCTTGTTCATCAAGAAGGGTAGGAATTTCATGGTGAGATCCACAAATGATGAAAAGTTGGCTTCCACCTCCGAGTGGAAAGCCGCTAGATCGACTTTGTCTGGATGGCTCAAGTCGATTATGCTCTGAACTCCCGCATTTAGGAAGACGCAATCCAAGTCTGGGTAGGTGTCTGTGACATCTCGCACAAAATCATCCATTTTGTCCCGCTCTCGAATGTCGAACCTGATTGCCCCGGCCTTGTCCCTGCCGTGTTTTTCAACGAACGTGTCCAGTCGCTGCTGTCTGCGTCCGACAGCAATAACCTTGACACCTTGGTGAATGAGGTGATCTGCCATTGCAGCGCCAATTCCCGCCGTCGCTCCAACAATAAGTGCTCGCTTATATGGAAAGGCCATGGTGGCTTCGATCTGACTTTGTAAAGTTGACCTTGATGGTAAAAAGGGATCGAGTTTGGGGTTCACGGAAATTCCAATGTCCTTACCCTGGGCTCATCAAGTATATATAGGTCAAGGGGGGTTGCTTTGACCGAAAAGAATTCTCGGGTATGGCATCCGCTAGACGAAGTGCCTCCAGTAGGAACCTACCAAACATTGGAATTAGAAGACGGGTGAGCTGCAGCAAGACGGGGATAAATCACTGCAGGATCTATCTTCAACGCATTCAAAAGGCGTCGTACTATTCTACAGGTAAGGAGATTGGGAGAATGGCAGAATGGCTAGAACACAATCTCGAGCCCGCAGGTGACGTCGACGGAACACCTGCTGTTTGTGGAATAGCCTGGTGTCGGAGATACACTTTGGCCGGGAGTCCGACGATCTCCGATTGGCTCTTTGCCACGAGCAGGCCGCATCATTCCCAGAGTCAGTTTCATGTGCACCTCTCTGGCCAGCGTTGAGGGTTGCTCGGGTCTTGAGTCGTGTTGTTAGGACGATGGAGAAAAAAGTTTGGTCACAGTCGACGCCGAATCTCTTTCCATGTTTATCTCCCAAGTCCGCTGATCATGGTGTTTAACGGCAAGCCATCTCGAGCCTGTCTTCATTGCAGACGGAGGAAACTTCGCGTGAGAGCCCCTGTGTGTGGCCGGACTAGGAGCTTCTAGCTAACTCGTTGGCAGTGCGATCTCCACAAGGACGCCTGTGGCCAGTGTGTGAGGGCTGGTTTGAGTTGTGCGGGCTACCGCGACCCCGATCAATTGAGGATCAGGGATGAGAGCCAGTCAGTCATACGTAAAGCTCGAGGCATGTCTTCGGCCCCAATAGCAACGAGCATCGACACTCCACTTGTCGATAGAGCAAGGGCAGCCTTCTTCTCCCATTACGTCCTCGGGTTCGCCAAAACTTACGATGTTCTGGATCGGATGGGCCGACAAGCCCCGTTAGACAGCCACCTGGCAGCCAGTGTTGACGCTGTGAGCTTGGCCTTTTTCACTTTTCAGTACGACGCTGCCAGTGCATACAAGCCTGCGCGAGAGACTTACTTGTCTGCCCTTCCGCTGGTCAAAAGTGCTGTGGCTACGGCAGAATTCCTTGCATCCGACTCGACCTTGTTGGCAGTCCTCCTGCTGGACCTGTTCGAAAAAATAACCAACCGCAGCCCCATCTCGTCTGATGCCTGGATGAGTCACGTCAAGGGTGCTCTAGCCCTTGTCAAGTTGCGTCGTATACAACAACTGCAAACATATATCGGTCTCCGCCTATCAGTTCGCCTGTTCACCAACATGCTGATAAGCTGTGTGGCCGGCGACTCCCCAATTCCACCTGCATTGGTCAAGCTGCGTTCGGATATACAGCCTCATGTCGACGCCAAAGATCCCAAATGGCGGGTCTCTGGACTGGTTATGAAGTACGCTAACTTCCGTGGAGAAGTCAAGGAGGGAGTCCTTGCACCATCCGACATCATCGCACAAGCAAAGAAGCTGGACAGCGAGTTTGGGGCACTTGCTCGAGACATGCCTCCGTCTTGGGTTTCTCACAGGGTTTCGGTCCCAACAGGCTCTCCTAGTGTTCTGGAACGATACTACGACGTCTACCCTGACTATTTTACAGCACAGACTTGCAACGTTATCCGCGTCATGCGAATTCTACTCAACAACCTCATCCGAGCGACATATATCAATATCATCTCGGGCAGTACTGATAATCCACAGCACGAACTGAACATCGCCTTTGCTTCTCATATCATTGACACCATGGCAAGGGAGATTTGCGCTGCCGGCCCACAATTCTCGCAAAGGCCAACTCATTCTTCGCCTTTCCGAAAGCTACACGCCTACACGCTTCTGTTTCCGTTCTATGTGGCTGCCATATTTGCAAGCCCCGAGACGAACATTCGAGATTGGGTGATTCAGCAATTGAAGTGCCTGTCCCGCGACTTTGGGCTGAGAAATGCCAGCGTCGTAGCAGAGGTGCTGGAGAAGAGACAAAATACAAGTCCGTGGTCGATGTATGCAATCCTTGGGAGTTATGCGTTCGCAGCATAGCAAGCTATACCTGTCCTAGTCTACGTTTTCCCGGCCTTAAGATGTGGGGCTATCAACGGGCTTTTAGCAGTGTACTAGGTAGTCTGCCGAAAACCTTGTTTCTTTCGAAGATCTGGCACACCTGACACACCATCCCGCTTGCTCAACCAAAAACTTCCGCACCAATTACTCTAACGCTAGGCTCTCGTTATATATATACTTCTAGTCCCTCACTCCCCCAAAATCAAAGCGTCCCTCCATATTCCTTCGAGAAGCAAAAACAATCGACAGTCAGGATTCCCACCTGGTCACCCACGGTAGTACTAACTGGACCGGCATGAGGCTTGAGTACGGCTGAGCGAACGGGAAGCCCTATTTTCCTCATCCTGTGGTCGATTGCGGAAGAAAATGTGCTTTTACGGTATATAACTCTCAAAAATTCCTACTAATGGTATGTGAGCAGAGTGAGTAGCCTTGGAGCGTTTCTCGACACGGGGTTATCAAGTCCCGACCTAACCTTGTGCTTATGGGGTAAAATCTGTGTAGTACATGCTTTTCCTGCAAACTAGGAGTTTCCTCCCTTGATATTCTCTCTCTCCTCCCAGTCCTCTGCTTTGGTTGTGATAGTTTGACCAAAGTCGATAATTGTCCTCGCTCCCTCCTCGATCCTTACAGATTTGACATTTTGGCTGTTTCGCTGGTGACTTCGCCTCTGGTTTGTCATGAGATTTTGCAGGAGGTTCACTGTCATTCTCGCCAGGGTCCTGTTGTCTCGGGAAAAAGTGGATTTGAGGGTGGTGTCGCCGCAGCCGCGACAGTGGAAGGCTTGTGGTTTTACGAAATTCTTCCCTGGATGTGGTAAGAGATTTACTACGACCGACGATAAGGGTGAAACCAAGAATATTGCAAAGCAGGAATTCAACTGCGACGGCAGACGATAGCGCTTTTGTGCGCCGAAAACAAGAAAAGAGACTTCATCTATTCTAAAGTGCTCGGTGAGGGTATCGTATCGGATGGTTGATGGTGGGGCAAGATTTCTGTTCCACAGCTGGCTCAAACTCGTACACATTTGGCTTCACGTTCTGGTTCAAGGAATCGACAATTGCATGGATGTCTTCCTCCTCAACTGCGCGTCCCATGCCACTAGGAGTCATTGTTATGTCTCTGCAAGTATCAAGTACCCAATGTGGGACAGAACAGGACACGTTGAACGTGTAACGGGGCAGTATCGTGCATGGTCAGGTATACACAGAGAAAGACGTTTCAGTAGCCTCCGAGAGCTTGCTCCTTGCAGTATTCAAGAATTCCTCGGCGGTCGTAAATGCTTGATTCCAGCATCTTGTGATTTCGATTCCTAACGATAGCCCCTCGGTAGTTGGAAAGATGCGTTCTGCGTATCTTACATCTATTGTATGATCATCGATACGCGCAAAGGGCATTTGACCAGCCATGAGCTCATAAAGTGAAGAGCCCAGTGCGAACAGATCCGTCTGCACTGAACTGTCGACATCATCCGGACGTGGTAGCCAGTGGCTTGAACATTCGAGGCCCTGCGCTGCCCTCCCTGTGAGACCGAGAGCAAGTTGAGCATCGAATCCGGAGTAAAGTCACACAGTCGGGCGTTCCCTTGATCTAGAAGCCACTGGTCCAACCGGAGGTCTGCGTGTCGAACACCTTTTGAGTGGATGTAGAAGACGCTTTCGATCATTTGAAGAGCCCAGCGTTTCTTATCGACTTCTGTCGTGCTCGAATAGTTCTTTTCAAGGTAGTCCTTCAAGTTGCCGTTGGGATAGAACTCAAGTTCGACCCGACCCTGTGACGGGCATCACGATAGACACCGTACAATTCGAGGGTGCTCTCCTAAGATTTGGTACACGAGAGATTCAGTCTGGTATGCTTCTAGATTTTGTTGCGTGATCGCTGGATCATCTAGGAGTACGTGACAGATGTTTGCAACCTTGTTTCCAATTCGATATGTCTCTGAGCTCATACCAATCATGAGCAGTTTGATGTCGTCCACCATTGGTGCATGTCTAACAAAGCCATCGGACTGTGGAATGCCTCATTTAGGAGAGCAGATGGAGGCAAGGAAGGATACGATGCTGCAATTCGGGACAGTGAGGTGGAACGACAGATAGGAGTTTGCATTGATGAACAAGGGTGAGAGGGTATTACTCAAAACGTAGATTCGTTGCAATAGGCGTAGACTAGCTACCCATGCCTTAGATAAGTAGCGGTATAAAGTACGGTCTCTCTCCTGAAAGCTCTTGAGGTTTTAAGGCTCTATTTCCCTATACCTCAGGGACGCGATCGCCGTTTTATAGATTGTTGGGAGTAAAGACCTAGCTGGAAAATAGAGTTAGCTGGCGGGGAATCTAAGTAAATACCTAAAGAAATTATTCTTGTAATTGGTCGAGCCAAGACTTTACTCGTCATCTTTAGCCATAATAGGAATAGTGTTAAATGTGCCAAGACTGCGGCCAAAATAAAGGCTCAAGAGCAAGTCTGTCAGAAGTCAATCATGCTGCCGGCTGAATGTGATACTCTTTCCTCGAGAACGACAATGGCAAGGAAGAGATCCCTGGAACCTCCGTCCTACGAAGAAAAGTCAGATGCCGCCAAGCTGAATGAGCGCCTGTTCAAGAAACTGAGAAAAGCTGTCGATTCCAATCCGGAGGCCGACCTGCTCTCACTGTTTCCCAAAGAATATTCGCAAAGACTTGCAAGACTAGCAAGATCTCCCAAAAAGAAGAGGACCATGGCAAGTGATAATGGTAGGTAAACATGTGTCACTATCATAGCTTGTTACCTCTTCTGACATTCTGTGACTTGTTAGGCGTCACGTCTCCCGAGAGTGTTTTGCCTAAACAAGACGACCATTGGGTTTCCACATTTCAAGATGATATCCGCTACCTTCTCTCCTCTGACGATGTTCAGATTATGGATCAACCATCATGCTCAGTTCAAGAATTAATCAAGAGCAAAATGGACACGAGCAATGCCTCTCCCACCATTGAAACAGATCCACAATTCCCCATGGCTCTGACCAAGCTCATTCAAGAAGGAGAAGTTATCAACACAGGCCCTCTTCCGTCCAGAAGAATGGTAGTGAAGTGTGGTGTTGACACAGTCGCAAAGCTGGTATGGGGGGCTGAAGAATTCACCGAGTACACCACACTTCAATACTTGCTAGAACACAAACCTAGCATTCCGGCACCCAGACCACGTGGTCTTCTTCGTATGGGTCGCGTAACAATATTCCTCTCTTCCTTCCTGTCAGGACCGACCCTCGAAGCAGTATGGGCAGATTTGGGTGCAGATCAGAAAGCATCTGTTCGAGACCAACTGGATGTCATTTTCCGTGATCTCAGGACAATGGAGTTCCCAAATGGTATGTCGTTGGGCGGCGTCGCGGGCGAGGGCTGCAAAGACCAAAGGAGACATCTACGGCGCTGCACAACCCCCGTTTTTGATGTCAAAGACTTTGAGACTTTCCAATTTTCTAACCCCAACTATGGAAGCAAGATATTTATCGACTTCCTCCGCACATTCACTCCTCGGAGCTCACGTCAAATTGTCTTCACTCATGGAGACCTGCGGCCAGCAAATATTATTGTTGACGTCACTGAAGACAAAAGATGTATTGTTACTGGTGTCATTGATTGGGAAGACAGTGGATTCTATCCGGGGTACTACGAAGCCACCAAAGTCACGAAATGTTTGGCAACTAATGAAGACCAGGACTGGTTTCAGTTCCTTCCGCCATGCATCTCACCTCACACTTATCCTGTAGAATGGCTACTGGATTACGTCTGGGGCCGGCATCTGGAATAAGCATACTATTACATGATTACAGGATAGCTCCCCGTTTCTTCTTCAGCTCCTTCTTTGCATCCTTATAAGTCTGTTCGTCTTGGTCCACGACAAATTCACTCTCCAAAGTTTCGAGCACATCCAGCACATATTCCTGGCAATCCCATTCCAGAGTTTCATTGTCGATTTTTGTGGTCCGTGCAACCTCCTGCACTGTGTCAATATCACCCGAACTAACTTCGCCCATGAAAATCATTGTGATGAAGCTCACAGAGCTCCTTGGATTTGCCTTCACCAGGTTACATTTGAAATCTGGGCGATCGCCTATGACTTCGAAAATGAGGGCCTGGGTATCTGTTTCCAAGCTCAAGGCCCAATGCTCATAATTCCCATATCGGGGTCGATAGAACGCGACATAGAGCTTGGCGTTTGCCATTGATGGTCTCTGAGACTTTCCCTTTACATTAGTACTCGCGGAAGCGGTGCAAGGAGTATGACTCGTACGGGAGGAAACTTCTTTCCACTTTTGAGACCAGTTTCGATAACAAGGAGCCGCAACTCGGAACTTCGATATTTCTTGACGGGTGCACAGATTCCAAACGATTGAACAAGGCCGTTAGATAGCTCCCCTCTTGGATATCATTTATATCACGACAAGAGCTTGTAAACCTAGCTTCTCGCCAGTCACCTCCATCAGGCCGGATGCTGATGCGTGGCTCGTGTCTATTAGTCCGAGCTTCTCCAGGCAGCTGCCTGATCTCATGTTCATTGTGTAACCTCCTACGACACAAGCTCCGTCGGCCGTCGTGTCACCATCATGAAGGACTCGGCTTCAAATTGCGACCTATCCTTGAGCTTGAGAAGAGCCAATCAGGCGTTTCCAAAGGCGACGAAATTCTCGTATGAAAATCAGGGTCTAGACATGGACATGTTTACCTGAAAGATCGCTCTTGCAATTGTTATTCCGGAGGTTTGCCTTGGGAGGGCAGTGTAGTTCTTCGAAAGCCTCATCCACCGTTGCAAGTTTCGCATTTTAGGCATCTTTCGCTTCTGAAAAAGTGAGGACAAGATAGACGGCGTAGATGAGGATAATTCAACATCGGTTTTGGATAACAGAGATGTCTGAGCTCAAAATGATGTCGAGCAGACCCGGCAGCTCAACTTCGCGGCCTTTCAAAGGGTACTTGTGACTTTACAAATTGCAACACGAATATATGTTCAGCCAGTTATGATCCAGAACATCCTGAAGAACAGCGATTGGCTAGGATTTCACCAAAGCACAGCTCACATCGTCAAATGCTAACCTACATACTACTTACTGGACCACCTTTTCCACGTACCCGCTAGACTAATCTATAACTAGACTGGTGTTTGCTATAACAGGCATAGAGAATATTTAGTCAGGAATACCTAGTCGGAACTCAAAACTATAGTGGGGCTGGGACTGGGACTGGGAATGCGAGTAGTTACACGGGTCTGTTGGTACCACTGGTAATCGGTTTCTGATGGTGCCCGTTTCACGCAATTTCTAGACAAACCCTCGAGTCTCAGTCACCGCGACTAAGAGCGAGTGGTATTTTGAGCCGCAAAAATTGTCGGAAAGTTGCTCGAGGATTTAGTACTGGTGGGTGCTGGAACGAGCCACCTCCTCTTTTCACTTCAACAACAGTGATCACTATCGACATCACTTGAGAATAGGTCCATCGTAACATCTCCTGCTCCTCGTCCATCCTATCCAAAATTCCAGATGGGTCAACGATTCAAGTGGGCAAGTTTCTTCGCCAAAGGCAAAAATCTGTCCTCGTAGGCTGCGCCCTGGATCAACACGTAGCCTTCGTTTACCGCTTTTAATGCCACAGCCACAGCCTTTCACAGGCGTGACAATGTTTGGGCCAGATTCCTGGTTGAAGTCCGTATACAACGTCCAGCACAGGTCTGAAGCCACAACGAAGTGGATTAGATTCTGGAACACGGAGAAGTTGAAGTGTAGTGGGGAGGGAAGAGAGGGAGGGGGTGAGGAATCGCGGGGTCGAGCAGTCATATTGAGGCTGCCTCCTGAAGTCCCCTGTTTCTTTCCCCGCGTTCCGGGGAGGAGGGGATCTGGGTGTGTTGTCGTCGTCGCAGCCAAATTCCGTGCGCCCATCAGTGATCGCTATCGAATGTCCTCTTAGCAATGGATGACCAGGTCTCCCTTGACCGTGCTGCCGTTTGTAAACTGCTCCAGCGTCTATCAGCAACTGTGTTCCAAGAAGAAGAGGAGCAGCATCCGTGGCGCCGGCAGTCCCGAACTTTTGATCAACCATTGCTCAGGCTTTGGGACCATAACTCAGGAAGCCAACTGGATGAAGACGGCTGTATGAGGGCAAGAGCGACGCGTGAACGACTTGATACGTTAGAATCTCGGAAGGAATCATTGACCATTCACGTTAACCATCGAGACTGGAGACCAACACCCTACATCTCATTTAACAACCTCACGTTCCAAAGTTGAAAACCTCGCCCACTTGTGGTTCCAACGGCGTCGAGGATCCTTCACTCTGACCGTCGTCGATCCCGATAATCGAATTCGAAACGGCCTACCCGTCCTACATGTCAGTGATGAGATGGAATATTATCATGTCCCTGACCCCTATGACCGAACCAACGAATACTACAAAGATCACTACATTTGCCTGTGGGAGGTCACAAAGAAGGAGATCGTGGGCCACTGGCGATGGGAAGTCCTTGTTGAAAACACGAATTGGTATGAAGAGATCGTCATTCCCGCTTTTGAGCGCAAGCGGAAAGCAGTGGAATCTGAAGACTTGTCAAACCTCTTCACCAGGCTTTCTCGTAAGTCTAAGCTGTGAGCCAAGATAATGTACCAGAGTCGACTAAAAGTTTCAAGTCAACCGACACGTCCAACCCAACCCGAGCAGTTTCTCTGATGGCCGTTCAGATTCACCAAGCGAACTGTTCTGCTTCTTCGACGATGAGGTCGATGGTTTCGATGAGCCATGTGGTTGTTTTGAGGACGGTTCAGATACTGACGATGAAGTCGAGGAGGCCAACGCCACCGATGATATGTTCAAGATTATGGAAGGAGATTGGTGAAGGGACTTGTTGACGGATGTGTTGCCCTCCCCCCCTTTCTCTGAAAGCTTCTCTTTGCAGTAAGTGAGCTGCAAAGCCTCCGGGCCCCCAAACTGGTTGGACCAGAAAACGTGTTGTCAAGGAGCCTGATATTGCGCAATGTGTGCCCTGGTTGTGATGTTTTGTAGATTGTCATAATTATATGTCTTTTTGGTGTCTCAACACAGAAACATTCTGTCAGTGTAATACAACGCTTCCTGTCACAGACTCCGACGCGGTCCAACGACCTGTTTGACCACACGTCAGGATGATGGATGTATGCTACCCGTTGCTACTTGCCATATATCAACCGCTGATGGGTCAGTTACAACGAGTCACCAACGTAGCCTCCGACATCGGAATTTCGTGACTTCAGCTCGAAAAAGGAGTGAGTCTGTGGCGCCGTACATATGTCCGTCCCAGGCACAGCGTTTCAACAAGTCAACCAATCTTTCGAAAAAACCCTGCTTTTATCACGCCAATCACCTGTTATTGTTCTCCACTATAAGTTTTCTTGCGTACCGATCGGAGATTTAACTGATCCAATCGATTGCGCCGGATCCAGAAAGTATTATGTACTCGCAGGTATCCCGTTCCTGGACTCGCGCAGTCCGCGGAACCCGCGCTGCCTTGGTCGGCCGTGGCTGGCTTTCGGCCGATGGCGTCTCGGGTCCGAACGCAGTCGGTCTTCGACGCACGCCCATATAATGAACCGTTGTCATTGGGAATGTTGGGAGAGGAGTGCAGACAGGCAGACATCTGAAAAACAAGAAACCTTTGATACTTACAAGTAACCTGTGTTGCTACACAAAAGGAGAGAAACATTCAAGGCCACTCACTCACTACCTCTGAAGCATATGATCCAATGACCACATATTGACGAGCGGCGCATACAGTTCCTCCGGTCCCCGACAGAATACATACGTCCATACATAACAGATACATGCTCTCCTGGACCTGTTTCTCCCAGGCCAGGAATAAAGAAAAAGACACAGCCGGAAAAAGTCACCACCACCAACCATGATGGCGCCCCTAAAAGTCCTCATCATCGGCGGCGGTATTTCAGGGCCAGCCCTCGCCTTCTGGCTTGCACGCATCGGCGCCAACATCACCCTTATCGAGCGATCGCCCCGGATGCGCGCGTCGGGACAACAGGTCGACATCCGCGCGCAAGGAGTGGCCATGATGCGGAAGATGGGCATCGAGGCCGCCGTGCGCGAGGCCTGCGTGCATGAACCGGGTGCGCAGTTTATCGACGTCAAAGGCCGGACACAGGCCTTCCTCCCTGCGACGCAGAACGGGGCCGGGAAGCAGAGTTTCACGTCCGAGTTTGAGATCATGCGTGGCGACCTGGTGCGGATCCTGTACCGGCTCACAGAGGGCCGCCCGAATGTGCAGCACTTGTACAACACGACAGTCGACAGCTTCACACAGGATGAAGAGAGCGATCCCAACGGCAAGGTCCACGTGCGGTTCCACGACGGGCGCACCGAGGACTTTGATCTGGTCGTGGGCGCCGACGGCGCTGGGTCGAAGACACGAAAGGCGATGCTCGGCCCAGACGCTCCGGATCCACGACACCCCCTAGGCGGGTACATTGGATATTTCAGCATCCGCTCGACACCGGCAGATTCCGATCGGGCGACGTTCTGTCCGTTGCCGGGTCCTCGCGTAGCCCGCATCATCGGCACGCGCAAGGACTGTCCGGAACTCACCCGCGTGTACATGATCCTCCTCGGCCCGGACGCCGCCATCGATGCGGCGTACAAGACCGGAGATCTGGCCGAGTTGAAGAAGGCTTGGTCCGATTTATACCAGGGTGGCGGATGGGAGTGCGATCGCTTCATGGAGGCGTTGCAAAACCAACCCGAGGCGGACGATCTGTACTGCACGCCGTTCGAGGAGGTGCGACTGCCCGAGGGGTCCTGGTCGAAAGGGCGAGTGGTGCTGGTCGGCGACGCGGCACACTGTCAGACAGCCGGGGGTCTGGGATCGACATGGGGTATGATCGGGCCATATATCCTGGCGGGAGAGATTGCGACGCTGTCTGCCGAGAAGAGTAGTTCCTTGTCGTCGACATCCACAGCGGAAGAACCGGCACCAGCAAAAGCAGCACCAGCGACAGCGACAGCGCCAACGACAGCAATAGCGAGCGTGGTGATCCAAGCAGCCAAGAACTACGAGACCAAATTCCGCCCCGCAGCGACAGCGATGCACGGCGGCTCCGAGAGAATCGGCCTCCTCAGCTTCCCCCGATCGAAACTGGGGATTTGGATCCTGCTTCTCCTCGCCAAAGTCGCCGCGTACCTTCGGCTGGACCAGAAGTTGGGGTTGTTCAGCGACACGCACCAGTGGCAGTTGCCCGAGTATCCTGCCTTGGAGAAAGCGGAGAGAACAGGAGAGAGTTTTGAGAGCTCAGTAGGCGAGCGAGCGAACGAGCGAGGGAGGATGTAAGCAAGGCGTCAATCAGTCAGCCAGTCAGTCAGGCGAGAAAAGCTGTGGCGTGTACGGAGCCAGGTACTGGGTACGGGGAACTGGGCACTCTACTTATTAGATTACCGATCGAATCGATCTCTCCTTTTGCGTTTTTATATACCCACTCATCTCTAACATGGAAAAAGTCCACTTCGGGAGCCTGTATTTCATGGTTTAATTAGGCGGATAGCCAGTGTCCCAGATCTCGATTCTGTCGTTTCTCGTTTGTTGTTGTTGTTGGTGGTGTTAACATTGTACCATAATATATATATATGGTAACTCTGCCCCCTATTCGACGTTATGTGCCCTCGATCTTCCCTCGTGCGAGACATTCTTTGACCTAGTACCCATCAACCATACGGCTGCAGGTCCGGACCAGGTACATGCCTAATACAGTATCACCTACCTGGGCAGGCAAGTAGGGGCTAGGATATAGGGCTAGGATGGGAATGGTTAGTGGGATTTGTTCGTGCTTGAAACGTGGTGGCGAAACAGTATCTGTGACATGTAACGCGCCTTCCTCCTGGCTGGCGGCGAAGCCCCTGAGCCTGAGGCCCCAAGGCCCTGAAGGAGGTACCTACCGAGTACAGCTCTTTGTCTATACCTGTCCAGGCAATTATACCGAGTCCCTAACTACCTCCTCCGTCCCAACTCCATACCTACCTTCCTAGGAGTACCTCGTACTCGGTAGGTATCGTACTAATTCCTCCCTAGCCCCTACACACTCTGTCTCGTCAAACGCCAGATCGTTACACAATACACGGTATGTCCATCCCCCTGTCCCCCCCCATTGAGATTTCGTCCGGGGTTGTGCGCGCAACGATGCTGCATGCGGCGTGCACCCAGTGGAGATGGCTTGGTACTCGGGAGTCTTTCCAAGATTGCGCGGTCCCGTGAGTCGTACTCGGTAAATACAGTACCTAGGCTAGGCCCTTTGGCACCCTGGCACCCATGTACATAGGCGTGATATGCTAGGTCAGGTCAGGCCAGGTGCTCGATACTCCCATGGGGGAAAATATACCTTTCGAGTATATAACATGAAGAGGACGATGTGAATGTGAGGGTCGTCTTTTTCTTGTTCGACAAGCGTGTTCATTCGTTTTCTTTCAATTCATTTTCGAGCCGGTCTCTCGTCACACATCATTCATTCGTTCGTTCATTCTTTGCAGCACCTGTTGATCGGGTTTCCATTCCATTCGTTTCATTGGCCATCGGGTGATTCAATCGTATACGATACTCCCAACTTTGTGTATAGCAGCGCCATGAGATCCATTCTTTACACCTTGTTTCTCGGCGGCGCGTCGTTCAGTGCCGCGCTTCCTGTCGCCGAGAAACGCACTGTGACTTCGCTGGACCAAGCGTCTTTCGAGGAAGCCCAACAGCGCGACGACACGGCCACGAGAGCCTTCTCGGGGGTTCCGATCAAGGTATGTTCGCAACAACATCTGGACAGTCGCCTGCGAACGACCTTTTCATGTTGATTGGCTGACTCAAACTGGCCATAGACTTCAGACGGCCAGTGCCTCTTTGTCGACGAGCTGTCTGGCGATTTCCGTGCCAACTTGACCCCGATCCAAGTCGCTGCCTGCGACGGTAGCACTGGACAGCAATGGGATGTCATCACCGCTGGAAAACATGACGACCAGCCCGGGACGATGCTGATTGTTAGCACGCTGGCAAGTCGAGCCTCGTTATCACCTGCAAACCTTGGGCTGACTCCTTGCTTGAACCCTTACAGACGCAGGCTTGCTTCAACTTCGACCCTCGTCGTGCCGCTGGAAACCAGGTTCTTTTGTTCTCTTGCGGTGGTCGTGCCGATGGCAGTAAGTCTTGGAACTCCAAGCACACCGTTACTGTGAGCCTCGATTGACCATGTGCGTTAGGTGGCCAGGTGACAAACTCGCAGCTGTTCCCCTTCAGCGGCGGTGCTGGCCCGCTTGCCTTGACCCCCGAAAATGCACCTGGAAGCTGCTTGGCCGTCAGCGGAGCTGTTGTCGACATCGCAGCCTGCAACACGGCCGATCCTGATCAATCCTTCACTTTTCGCGAGGTTGACGCTGCCACCCCCACCGATGTGGCTGCGACATCGTCGACGACACCGGCGAGCGAGTGTGGAGCAACGCCACCACCACCAGCATCTACCACCCCTGCGTCTACCGTCTCTGTGTCTGCCATATCAAGCACAGCAGCGCTCGTCGTCTCGACTACATCGCCACCTACCGTCGCCGAGAGCGCGACGTCGACGGCTTCCGCCTCTATAATCTCCGTGTCTCGTGCCGGCGGCGTCCTCGACCCCTCTGCAGTCGCAGAGGCGAATCCGCGCGACGACACGGCCACGCGAGCCTTCTCATCCGTCTCGCTCAAATCGTCGTCGGGGCTCTGCCTCTTCATCGACCCCACGGCAGGCGACTTCCGCGAGAACCTGATCCCGATCGTGCTGCAGCCGTGCGACGGTAGCCCCAACCAGAGCTTCGACATCATCACCGCGGGCGTGCACAATGACCAGCCGAACTCGGCCTTGATCGTCAGCACCCTGACGCAGGGATGTTTGAACTTCGACCCCCGCAGAGCTGCCGGGGACACGGTGATCATGTTCAGTTGTGGCGGACGCGCGGATGGCGGTGGCCAAGTCACCAACAGCCAGCTCTTCACCTTTACCGCGGGCGAGACCAGTCTGAGACTCCAACCGGAGAATGGCGCCGGGTCGGTGTGTCTAGCGGCGGACGCGACGGGCAGACTTGACCAGGTGACTTGCAGCGACGATCCCAGCCAGGTCTTTACCATCGCCACCTGAAGGAGGACGTGAAAGTCTATGGAGTTCTGTCGATACTTGTATATTCTCGGCCCTTGTACTTTGTAAACCTGTGTAACGATATCGGTGATATAAGAGAATATTGTACGAACATTTCTATCCAGTGCCGGTGTCCCCCAATGAGCCTCAAGCGTCTGTCTGCCTGGTACTCGGACCCGGACATCTTGTGTCCTTGAAACGGAGAGAAACCCTAAGCTCAATCTCCGTTACCCGCACTATCTTGAGGGAACAACAGCTTGTAGTGGGAGGGGAAGCAAGACTGTTAACTACACCTTGTTCAAAGGCGGTCAGTCAGTCAACTGGATTTCAGAAAGGTCAAGTCAGCGACCAAGGTTCGATATCAGTGCAGAGAGAGAGACAAAGAAAAGTATCGCAGAATGATACCTCGGATGATCCATCTAGTGGAGGGGTGAGGGAGGGAGGGAGGTAGATGACGCCCTCGCCGCCTCTTGACTCCATGGCATCCCACAACGCCAACAGAGCACGGTGGTCGTCGCCCTGCAAGAAGCGCGCCGCGTTCTCGTCTTGGTCGTCGAACAAGATGCCATATTTATCATCGAGGATGTGGTGGGGCAGGACCTGTTTCCGACGCGCCCAATCCCTTGCGCTGGTAATATGCTGCTGCGAGGCCTGGTGTTCCAGTGCAGCATGGGCTAATTTGATGTCGTCGGACTTTTCGCCCTGTGTGTCCATGTCAAGCAAACCGCTGTTGGGGTATGTATGTCGCAGTGACAGGGACCGGAGGTTCGTGGCACCTGTATTGAGGCGCGTGAAGAATTCGGCCCATGTCGGCGGATCGGCCACTTCGGACGATGTATTGGGGCCGCTGGCACCACAGCTGAGCAGCGTCAAATGCTCCAGATTCGGACTTTGCAAGGTCACGAATGCCATCAGCGGATCGTCGATGAAGAAGTGGTCGAGTGTGAGCTTTCGAAGGTGATGGAACCGAAGACCATGAGAGAGCTGGGGAAAATCTGCTCGAAGAAGGGGGTCAGCCAGCTTGATGCAAACGATAATGTTTTTGACAGAGTGATTTATTTTTTACAGACCGAGATGACCACATCCCGGAGCCAGACCGATAGGGCAAGAATAATTGGCCCGAAGCTCGAGTGTTTCGACATTTGTCAAGTGCTGGATAAAAGTTGGCCCCAGGCTTCTGGTGAAGCTCTCCATGTCCATGACCCTGTTCTGCTCCCAGCCTGCTCCATTGTTCCAATGAGCCAATGAGATCTGGCAGTCTGTCACACAATTAAGTAGACTCTTCAGACCATGGCACCCTTGGGGGGTGCACTCTGTGCTTCCTTTTGGAAGATTGACCAGTCTGAGTGTGAAACTGGCCTTGGCTGCGAGGTTGTTCTGGCATATTCCGCGTAGAATAACAAGGATCATGCGCCCAAAATCCCCGGTAGCACTGAATTCCATGCAGCTGTCCACCATGTCGATCCAGTGCCAGGGGAAATCGAGGGTGAGCGCCTCCAAGTTGGGCGGCAGGTTCGATAGGAGCGCAGAGAGACGTGTCAGCGGAAATTCGGGCCAGTGTGACAAGACGTCGTCGTCTTCGTATTCAATATCACGAGACCGTTCCGTGTACGCGTCTCTGGCGCTTTGACTCAATGTCGCAAGGGTATTGCATACGACCAAATTCTTTACATGTCGCCATCGTGGTGTCCGAGAGAGAGTTTCTATTGATTCGATCGACTTCAGATGAGTTCGAAGCACGACATGGCGAAGAATGCGAGCTTCAAAATGCCGTCGATAGAAGCGGCAAGTCGAGCTCCAATGCAAAAGGGCGTAGGCGCCTGGGTGGTCCTTATTGTTGCGATCAGTGCCATAGTACTTTGCATGCTGGTCGTCGAAATTATTCTCGCCCGTCGGAATACCATTGATGCGCTCTTGTCGGTATGCAGGAGGAAATAAAATATCTGGTAGGTCCAATGACTTTACGATCATCTGATGGACATCCACCGGAAGATTCATCAGCCGACATTGCGGCTGCGCATCGGCCATGTTGGTATGACAGAATCGAGGAGCTCATCCGAAAAGACAAATACCGGCGTCTCTTGTATATCATGGTGATCACCGGAGAGAGGAAATGGAGTCGAGGTGGGAAGGCGGAAGCCTGCCTCGTGTCAAACACTGAAACACTACAGAGTATATGACTAGAGATGACTCAAATATGCATGAGATGCCCCAGTAATTACCTCTTGCGATGTAAGGCGGTGCGGTCCGGGTGCCTAGTGCCTTGCTAAAGCTTTAGTGCCTCGTAGTTTCTAGGTAGTACGGGGGGGCCAAAAGCCACGAGGCTGAGCATCTGGCATCTAAGAGTCAGGATCAGGATGAGATGGGGGCGGTGTATGGGAAACCACCTAATCTGGACTCGCACTCACTCGGGCTCCTTTCTTGTCAATCTCATGCTCAGCCAGGTCGGAACTGTACTCGATAATAGTTGTTGGCAAGGCTGTCCCTTTTACACACACTCGCACACTTTGTAACCAACATAACCGCCAACCCATCGTCCAGAGTAGCAGTCAGCATTATTCGTCGGGACCAAGGTCGACCCATTCTCCTCTGATTCTGATCATTGAAACAGAAAATGCTCGCCCTCGACGGATCCACCCTCGAAGGCGGCGGCCAACTCGTCCGTGTGGCTCTCTCCATCGCAGCCATCTGCGCCGTTCCCGTGCACATCTACAACATCCGCGCCGGACGGGGAGGGGGAGGGAACTGGCACCACAAGCGTGCGCACAAGAACGGTCGAAGAAGTAGCCATCAGGGAAGTTTTAACCACAGCAGCGGCGGTGGAGACGGAAGTGACCGAGGAAGTATCTCCCCGCGGGGTCCGGCGGTGGCTGCAACGAAACCAAAGAAGCCTGGTGGTGGGCTCAAGGAGAGCCATTTGGCAGCGTTGATCTGGTTGGCCCGCGAATGCGGCGCGGAGGTCGAAGGGGGCGAGATTGGGAGCCAGGAACTGACGTTCAAGCCTGCGCGGCGGAAGAGAGACCGGCCGTGGACTGCGGCAGGGGCCGCGGAGGACGCGGACGTGATTGAGCTGAAGAATCCCGGCAGCGTCTGGCTCATCTGGCAGGCCATTTTCCCGTACATTGTCTTTTCGACGCTCCACACGCGCAGTCACAGAGGATCAGAAGCATCACCGGCCTTCCGCATCCGTCTCAAAGGTGGGACAAACGTGCCCAAGTCCCCATCCAGCGAATACATTCAGCAGGTGCTCCTCCCTTTATGCGAGCGAATCGGGCTCCCCAGGGTTGAAGTCCAGGTCATTAGGCGGGGGTGGACGACGGGCGCTGCAGAAATTGGAGAGGTTGAGATTTCCGTGTTCCACCCCGAGAAGTCTGGTAAGGACAATATGATGGCGAAGCCAGAGGGCGGTGGTGTGATGGGAAAACCAAAAGGCAAGCTCAGAGAAGACGAAGTCGACGAAGGTGACGACGCGGGTTTCGTCCTCGCCCCTTTCTGGATCGCCTCACCACGCCCCAGTACCATAAGCTCCGTGTCGATGACCATCCTGGCCGGCTCCCCCAAGACGCATTCACTGGTTGAAACCCAGCTCGTCACGGCCCTACGCGCCATTCCGACCTTCTCATCGCCATCTCTCCCTATCGAATTGCATACTTCCTCCGCAGACTCCTCTGACGAACGACGCCTCTACATCCTCCTGGTCGCACACACCTCCGACGCTACGCCCTGGGGAGAGACTACCTCGGGCCAGGCCGCAAGGTGACCAACGACACAGAACGGCAGCGCATGGTCGACGAGGCCGTCGGCACCGTTGTCCGCGCCTTCGCTAGGGAGTGTGAGCGTAGAAGCTGCGTGGATGAATTTGCAGAGGATCAGTTGGTTGTTTTCCAGACTCTTGCGGACGGCGCGTCGAGCGTTGACGTGGGAGGAGATCGAGGCAAGAACAAAGAAGAGACGGGTAGTTTACATACGAGGACTGTGCGGTGGGTGTGTCGAGAAATGCTGGGGACGGTGTTTGACGGGCTGGGCGGATGTGACGGGCGTGGAATGAAGGGGGAACGAGGGTTCGATAAGGTCAAGGATAGCATAGAAGCGCTAAACATCGAGCAAGACTAAGATGAGGAAGAGAATCGTAGGAGGTGGTCCAAGTGTAGGCCTCCGGACCACTGGGTTGAAAGAATGATCAAGGTGGCTCTTGTTGTCTGGCCTTTTAGACCATGCAGCGATTCCTATTCACATGGACAACTTTTCTCGACCACCGTCCCACCAGTCAGTTCGCCTGCAAGGATCTTCCAGAAAGACCCGATGCCGTAACACATAGCATTATCAAACTTTTCCCGCTGAAAATGGCCAACCAGACTGGACATCCGCCACAAATCGGTTTGGGGCACCCACCCACCTGATACTCTACACCTCGTGAAGTCATCGACTCCTCCAGAAACCGTTCCCGCCCACCGGTTGCAGCCGCATTTACTTATTAAAGATAATCTTAGTGCTTCCGTGATGTGGAAAGGGAGGCGATGGTTCTCTCTTTGCCGATTTGACAGCATGTTTCACACTGGCACGCTTCTGATGCCCTGTAAACCAGTGGCGCCTTCTCAGATTCTGACACTCGCGGCATTTGACCTCGGTCCTTGTCAGTTTGATCGATTTTTCTGTCTCCTAATCGTCCTGGCTGATCCAAAGACTATCCTGTTTTTCGTTGCATTTGTTTGGTTTGTGTTGAGGATGACCTCGACTCGAATGCTCCTAACCTTGGGTACCGGCTCTACCGCGACCTCTTCCGTCCTTGGCCGCGCGCTCAGCAAGAAGTTTCTTCTTCAGCTCCTTATGCGCTTGGCGCGCAGCCTTGTCGTACTTGGCCTTCCCTAGAAGTGGAAGACCGGGAATCTTGCCCGTAGCATTGGGGTCTGGCTTCGGCTTGGTGGAGACTAGGTTTGACTTCGGGCCTCGAGCTTTGACAAGATTCTTGCGTTCTTTCTTGGGTTTCTTGACCTTCCAAGGTTTCAACTTGTTCCCGCCGGCTGGGCTCGAACTGGCTTCCGGTTTGGCCTCGCCTTCGTCGAATTGTCCAAATGAGATGAAGTCAGCTGAGAGCTCTTCTTTGGTGGCTGCCACGCCATCTTCGGCAGGAACATGGGCAGACTCTCCAGCCTCTTCTTCAACCTCGGCAGGCTCAGCGGCGGTGGTAGGCTCTTTGGCTGCTTTCTTTGCCTTCTTCAATGCTTTTTTCTCGGCCTTGGACATTTCCTTTGAAACGGTCTCTGCATGATTGTCTGTCACGTCGGTCGAAGTGCCCTGGGCTTCCCCCTCCGTCGGCAGATCGGCTGACGTGGAAGTCAAGGCAATAGCGGCATCAGTCTCTTTGCCAGCCTTGCTTTTCTTTTCCTTCTTTTCCTTTTTTTCTTTCTTTTCCGTCTTGTCCTTCTTGTCCTTCTTGGATTTTTTGCCTTCTTCCACTGCAGGTGTGTCTTTGGCCAAATCACTTGGGGCTTCAAGAGCTGGGCTAGGACCATTTTGCCCGTTCTCAATTTGTTTCGATTCAGCCTGGCTGGCTAGCTTTTGGCTTAACGCCGCTGAAGGCGCCGTCAGAGTGGACGATGGCATGTCTAGTCCAATGGCTTTCATCTTCTTTGCCTTCTTGTCCCGTTTGCGCTGCTCCTTGTCGATCTTTTTCTGCCACTGCTCTTCAGTCTTGGGTGCGGCCAGACGCTCCCGTTCCAGTTTCTCGTGAGGAATCCTCCGGTACTTTTTATCTGCCCCCTTCCAGACGTCAGGGTGTAGGGAGCCTGGCTCAGCATATTTGCATTTGAGGATGTGGCCAAACATCAGGTAGTTGTCCATGGTCTCTGCCACAATCTTCGCAACCTCGTTTGAAGCGAATTCGATAAAGGCAAAGTGTTTCGACGCCCCAGTGCGTTTGTTTCGTGACAAGCGTAGCCGGGTGATGTCGCCAAATTGAGAAAAGTAGGCTCTCATCTCTTTCTCATAAAAGCCGTGAGGAATGCGGCCGACATAGACAGTTCCAGGACCATCGTCGTTGCCTTTTGCTTTTGCTTTCTCCAGCTTCTTCTGAGTCTTCTTGTATTTGGGCAAAGGAGGAGTTGTCCCAAAGTCAAATCCTTCATCTTGTTTGTCCTCTGTATCACTGTCAAACCCAGCCAATATAGCAGCCGCATTGTCATCGGCTTCGACCTCGCCAGCATCTTCCTGCTCATCCTCGCTTGCAAAGCCGCCAAACCCTTCTTCAAGCTCATGGTCGACGGTGCGCTCTGCCTCGGCCTGCATCGAAGTAGAGACTGGTTTGTGCAAAGTTGCAGTCTCCAAATTCTCCGCCCCAGTATGTTCAATCACACCATTGACACCATCAGCAGTGAGTGTCTCCCCATTGTGGCTGGTTTTGTTCTTCTTGTTTTTCTTTGACTTTTTCTTCGCCGGCTCAGCAGCTTCCTCAGTACCATTTTGTCCCTCAACTTCATTTGCGGTATCTACTGGCACCGGTGCCTCCCCATCGTCCATGAAGTCGGATGCGCGCTTGCGGGATTTCTTCGACTTTGTTACAGCAGCATTGTCGGATTGGAGAGTCTTTTGCTTGTGGTCAGATGGGACCTCGATCGACTCATTGCCCTTGAGCTCCGCCTTAGAGGCGTCACCTTTGTCGGCACTCTTTGATTGCTTGCTCTTCTTCAGAGGCTGGTCAGTTGCACCGGACGACTCTACTCACGAGTCAGTCAGTGATCTTGTGCGCCTGATCTCGTTCGTTCTCACCTTTGCGTTTCTTCGTTCCCATGGCTGCTGCGATATTAGACACAATGGACCATCAACCTCGTGAACAACTATTATCGCCAGATTCTCCAGACTTCTGAGAAAATCAATCGCCAGTCGCTGGTCAAAATTTTCTCCAACTTTTGCTTGGCATGGAGAGAGAAGCGACACCGAAGACGGAAAGGGGAACTTATCCGAAGTCAATTCGTCTAGAGATGCTTCCGAGTTACACACTTGCATCTGTTGGTTGATGGTGTGGTGAAGATGCTACGCCTTTTACTCCGTCGATTCATCAGTCTTGCAACAAAGGCTGTGTGGATCCATTCTACATGATCGCGTGGAAACACCTTCATGTCAAGGCCATCAATCTCCGTCCACTGCGATTTTCACACTGAGGAGTTGATTATACAGCACTCAAGGTGCTTTCATGGTTCAAATGCCTGAAGAGATGGGCACAAACGATCAAGTGTATAGGACATTTGACAGTACTGACACGATTGTAAGGACCTACCGAGAACTAAACAACGGAAAGCAATGACCACCAGATGGTGGGTCTCTGGATCGGCCTGGAGACAACAAAGGGACAAATTCAAAACCCACGTACAGCAACGCTGGCCTTGCCCACTCTACGAACATCTCTGTGCCATTCAGACGATGTGGTATTGGTGCATCCGCTCCTTTATCATTCGCCAAAACGGCAAAAGCGCCAAAGCTCCATCTCGCAAACTGGAAAGGCGGCATGCGCGTCTACACAGTCATCCATTGCACAAATACTGGTTAGGTGTTTACCATGGGAAATGTACCTGGGACAACCGACAGAGCCTTAAAGTTCCATGGGCATCTTTACCTCATCAGGAAGCACTGGTACCACAGGATTAGGAACGTCTGATCACATTCGGTCATAAGCCATAATCAACTCCTGACCCAAGTGCCTGTAGACAAGTGAATTCTTATCGTGAGTCCAAATACTATTCTCAGTCTCGTTTTTTTCTTTCCACAAAAACTGGATCACCTATTAAGTGGCTCCATTCAACCTCCTGCCGTGAACCAAAGACCTCCGGCAAGTGGATTGTTAAGTGGATCTGGAGCCGAGTTAGTCGTGGTCATGGACTATATGTAGGATTGCATAAAAGCAAGCTTCGCTGTGATTCAACAATTCACAGGCATGTTCTGTTCTGCACAATTATGAATAAGTGCCAGAGGATTTCGGGGAGATATGCAGTGCTTAAACAAGAATACTTGTGCTTGTATACCGCAAACAAGGAAGCGAGTCGCAGCCACGGCGAGTTCATCCTATCAATGGCAACACGGATAGGTAATCATGAGACATTATTTGACTCTTCCAGGTATGCAACACATGGCGTGGCGGGCGTGGAGGACGGGAAATAAACGACTCCGCAAGCCGGGTTTGGGTGGCTGACCACTTACTTGTGCTTTACCTTTAGGGAACTGCCTGAACCATCCCTATTGTGGGAAGTCCCTCGAGTCTTTGGTAAGCATACAAGGCCTTCTGAAACTCATTCGTCATTGAGAGGTTCATCGTCTCTCTCGTTGGCTGGAGGGTTGGGCCTGAGGGCGGCCGTATGATCTTACGAGACATTGCCACTTCCTCATCGCTCGGGAATACGGTCAGGAGCAGAGACACTGTCAATGCCTCGAGGCAAGAAGTGAGTACGAGGTGCGAGGTACTTGTAGGCACATACTGTGCCTCGCAGGCAGGTTTAGACTGGTGGGTGCCGGTGGCGGGGTATTTGTATCACGAGCAGCCAAAAAACCTGCCTAACGATGACATCAATGGGCTGATTGGGTCGGTGACCGAGGATGGCAACAGGTCATCTGAGAAGGTGGAATCGCGCAAATGGTTACATATGTACCTACCTGAACAAGTAGGTTTGATCTCAACGGCCTTCCAACGCCGTTTCCACATGTCAATGTAAACAATCCACAAGGTTAACGATGATCAGGGATGTTTGAGTTCAAGTGCTGGGATTATCAAGC